TGTCCTAAGATATTTATCTCAGACAAACTAAACACTGAATTACAGTGAATTGAAAACCAAATCATTCAGGATCCCTAGTCTCTGATACAGATGAGATATATAAAACATTCCATGATTTTTATTCCAAACTCTATAACCATTCACCAGAATTAGATTAAGGGTGGAGTAGGGAGAGTTAAAGAGATTACTGATTTTTTTGGATTCAATTAATTTACCTAGCATTCCCACTGATATGATTAGTATCTTGGAATCAGAACTTACTGAAAGTATTATATAGGAAGTAGAAGAAGCAATATCTTCAATTAAAATAGGAAAAGCTCCTGTTCCAGATGGATTTATTGACAGTTACTATAACATACTTCAAGAAGTATGATCAGGGCCGCCATCAGAAATTTTGGGGCCCCTAACAAAGCACAAGGTCTGGGCCCCTCCCTCCCGGGCCCGCACACGCCCTACCTGGTCCGCTCACAATGATGCAGGACTGAATGCGGTGTGTATAGTGGAATTGAATTAGAATATGTGTAATGGATGTAGTGTTTGTGTGTATTAGATACTGTTTGTACAGTGAATGCAGAGTGTGTGTTTGTGTAGCGGATGCAGTGTGTATAGTGAACGCAGAGTGTGTTTGAGTAGTGGATATAGTGTGTGTACAGTGATGTAGTGTGTGTTTGTGTAGTGGATGTAGTGTTTGTATGTACTAGATGAAATGTGTTTAGTGGGTGCAGTGTCTGTAGTGGATGTAGTGCGTGTATTAGACGCAGTGTCTGTGTATAGTGAATGCAGAGTGTTTCAATGTGTGGTGGATGTAGTGTGTGTACTGTGAATACAGGATGTTTGTGTAGTGGATGCTGTGTGTACAGTTAATGCAGAGTGTATGTTAGTGTAGTGAATGCAGAGTGTGTGTCAGTATAGTGAATCCAGAGTGTATGCATAGTTTAGTGAATGCAGAGTGTGTGTTAGTGTGTAGTGAATGCAGAGTGTGTCAGTGTAATGAATGTAGTGTGTGTTAGTGCAGTGAATGCAGAGTGTGTAAATTTGTAGTGAATGCAGAGTGTGTGTTAATGTGTAGTGAATGCAGAGTGTGTGTTAGTGTAGTGAATGTGTTAATGTGTAGTGAATGCAGAATGTGTTAATGTGTAGTGAATGCAGAGAGTGTGTTAGTGTGTAGCGGATGCAGAGTGTGTGTTAGTGTAGTGAATGCAGATAGTGTGTTGATGTGTAGTGAATGCAGAGAGTTTGTTAGTGTGTAGCGGATGCAGAGTGTGTGTTAGTGTAGTGAATGCAGAGAGTGTGTTAGTGTGTAGCGGATGCAGAGTGTGTGTGTTAGTGTAGTGAATGCAGAGTGTGTTAATGTGTAGTGAATGCAGAGAGTGGGTTAGTGTGTAGCGGATGCAGGGTGTGTGTTAGTGTAGTGAATGCAGAGAGTGTGTTAATGTGTAGTGAATGCAGAGAGTGTGTTAGTGTGTAGTGAATGCAGAGAGTGTGTTAGTGTGTAGCGGATGCAGAGTGTGTGTGTTAGGGTATGCAGTGTGTGTGTGTGTTGTGTTAGTGTATGCAGTGTGTGTGTGTTGTGGTAGTGTATGCAGTGTGTGTGTTGTGTTAGTGTATGCAGTGTGTGTTGTGTTAGTGTATGCAGTGTGTGTGTGTGTGTTGTGCTAGTGTATGCAGTGTGTGTTGTGTTAGTGTATGCAGTGTGTGTTGGGTTAGTGTATGCAGTGTGTGTGTGTGTTGTGCTAGTGTATGCAGTGTGTGTGTGTTGTGCTAGTGTATGCAGTGTGTGTTGTGTTAGTGTATGCAGTGTGTGTGTGTGTTGTGTTAGTGTATGCAGTGTGTGTTGTGTTAGTGTATGCAGTGTGTGTGTGTGTTGTGTTAGTGTATGCAGTGTGTGTGTTGTGCTAGTGTATGCAGTGTGTGTTGTGTTAGTGTATGCAGTGTGTGTTGTGTTAGTGTATGTAGTGTGTGTGTGTTGTGTTAGTGTATGCAATGTGTGTTGGGTTAGTGTATGTAGTGTGTGTGTGTGTGTAAATGTGCAATCTGGGGGGGAGGGGGAGGAAGGGGCATTTTAACATTAATTTTTAATTAATTTAATTAAATGTTTCTCCCCCCCCTCCCTGCTTACCTGTATCCAGGGAGGGGGGAGATTCCATCTGTGGTGGCCCGGTGGCATGGGGGCCCCCCCGGCTCCCTGTTACCGTCCACAGAGGGGGCCCAGGCAGCACACAGCTTCTCCTCTTTTAATAACTCTTGCGAGACCCGCGGAGCGTTGCCATGGTAACCGGGTCTCGCGAGAGTTATTAGAAGAAAGAAGAGAAGAAGCTGTGTGCTGCCTGGGCCCCCTCTGCGGTAACAGGGAGCCGGGGGCCCGCGGCTGCACACATAGATAGCGATATTCGCTATCTATGTGTGCAGAGAAAGAAAGTGGGGCCCGGGACTGCCAGAGCAGTCCGGGCCCACCAGGGCCGCCGGGCCCGTGACAACAGTCACGGTTGTCACCCCCTGATGGCGGCCCTGAGTATGATCACCTAATTTAAGAATGGTATTTAATCAGGCTCGTCAACCAGGAAATGTACCTATAGATATGACCACAGCTAATATTATTCTACTCATCATAGGAGATAAAGGTCTTACTTTTGTTGGAAACTAAAGGCCCCATTTCATTAATAAATGTAGATAACAAAATTCTAGCAAAATGGATTACACAAGTTCTTTTGACACTAATGCACTCAGAAGTTGGATTTATACCTCAAAGACAACTTTCTGACAACACCTGTAGGGTGGTTAGTTTAGCGTGGCATGCTGAAAATGTAAGAAACTCCTTCTCTGATTCTTTCATTAGACACAGAGAAAGTGTTTGATAGAATTTCATGGCCTTATTTGTTTTACCTTCTTAGACATTAGGGCTTCCCTGAATCTTTATTAAAACCATTAGAGCCTTATACTCCAATCTTCACACACAATTACAACTCCCAGGTTTAAATAGGACTCTATTAAAGATCCACAATGGAACAGGACAGGGAAGCTCCTTATCCTCACTTCTACATCCCCTCTCATTAGAACCACTTCTTATTAAAATCAGAGAAAATTCTAAAATTCAGGACATATCTATAGGCCATAATACTTTCAAAATAGCAGTCCAGTTATAAGATTAATTATTCCAAGTTATGTGGAATACCCTTTCATATAACGTACAAAGAGGAGAAAAACCTAGATTTGGTATTTCTTTTGGAAACCCCTTCAAATGTTTAGGGATTCAAATAGGATCATTTCACTCTAGACTTTTTTTTCAGATAATTATATACCCCTTATTGATACCATTAAAAGAGAACTAAAGGGATGGCAAAATAGATCCTTATCCTGGATAGGAAGAATACATTGTATTACAATCAATATACTACCTAGACTTCTTTTTCATTTCAAGCATTACCTACTAGAGTCACCAAAGGAGATTTAGATAACTTTCAAAGAATAGATACAATCATGTGGATGAACCAACGGCATAGATTAGATAGAAATCTACATTATAAACTGAGAAATAGAGGTGGATTGGGTCTTTCAGACCTTCTCTTATACTATTATGCAGCACAACTATCCCAATTATAATGTGGCATACCCCTCTTAAAATTAGAAGATGGGTAGATTTAGAAGCAGGTCTTATGAGATCAGATTTACCATCTCTTTATATGTAGCGAGAAAAACCCTTCAGAACACATTTACATTCATCTTCCCCATCTTTTTTAAATTCTTTATATGTTTGGGATAAATCAAGAACTAAATTTGAATTAGCACATTCCTCTTCTCTAATGACCCCAATTTTCCGTTATAAATGTTTTACAGTGGGCACAAGACCACATGACATTACAAATTTTGAAAAGGAGATATCTTGCGATATATACACTTATGGCCAAATGACGAATTTGGTGTAAAGGAGCCTTTTTCCACCAAACAACCTATTACCTGTATTCCACATTAATAAACTTAAGTCCAGCAAGACAAGAATGGAATAGGCTAAGGAATGTTCATATTTCTTATTGTGCTCAAGGAAGCCAGATAAAGCATTCATAAACCGGAATCAGTGCAGTAAATACAGAATTAGTATGTATAAAAGGAAGTGAGGAGTGTGGAGCATGGGAATTGCTAAAAGAATAGAGCATTCAATTATATTACCCAATAGCTGATCTTAGCATGTTTTTACTCATAGCCAAAAGAGTTGTCATGCAGAACGTCCTTAACTGAAACTGAAACTGGTTGTTAGTCTAATTATTATTATTCAAATTAAACTGTGGTATCTGATGTTGGTATTTTCTTTCATGCTAACAATAACTATCTATATTGTATATGTTTGAATATAACTGTCTTTAGATTACAATCTGTATATTAAAGGTACCCTCACCTTGTAGACCTGAATATCGATATGCTAAAAGTATATAACACTGTAACACTGGTCAGCATTGATTTGGATCAAAGAAAACTTTGATAATTTGTCTATCTACACCTTCCAAATTGATTGATTAATGCGTACACGCTTTCCCTAAAAGTAATTCACACCGGAGACAAAGTTTCTGGTCAGTGAAAAACCAAGGAATGCCTTTATTCCCTGGAGTGGGAGTTCCTTTTAAAGCAGAAATACGTCATGTACAGAGTCACAGTTAAACATACAATATACATTCAACAATTGGTTAACAGTCTAAGGGGTCTTGTCTAAACCCCCCTTCAGGATGTAGTGTCGTCATTACAGACTTCTCTCACCTATATTGGATACACGATGGGAGGGGGAGTGAGTAGTTTCTTTAACAGTGATTCTCTATTTTGTTAGCTGTCACTTTGCACAAAGGAAGTGGGGGAGGAGTTTAATAAAGGAAGATGTTCTTTTAACAGAGGAATTTTGTTACATGAGGCTTGCTCGATGGGAAGGGAGGAGTCTAGCAGGATGTGAGGAATTTACAGAGGAAATATCAACTGAACACATTGTAGGGGGGGGGAAGGGAATATTTACTCTAGCAGCCAGTTTTAACATAGTGAACACAGAATAAATAGACATTAGTAAATAGCCATTTTATTTTAATTCATCTGTCCATAACAGTCCCCCCTTTAAATGGCAATTTTACTAGAAACTACTATCTCTCACTCTAATACTGTCCCTATAGAAAAATAACAAAGGCTATCTTGCACATCTGTCTGAACAGGCCTCGAACGCTTCACTGCGCGGGTGACCCGTAGCAGCTTGTCCACTACTTCTCCCGCAACAGACTTCTGCCCGTAGAGACAGATGCTATCCCTGAATGTCCTTAAGAGGAAGTAGCTGTTGATTTAGTGCGGTGGGACTGTAAGGGTGTATGTGGTGTATCACGGTCTATGTCGTCAATCTCTTGGTGAAGGAAGGTTGGGGTGGTCTGGTCTATTGTCTGTTCAACTGTCTTTTGTAGGCATTTCTTAAGACAGTGTAACACACAACAAACAAGAAGAGTGAGGATGATTATCGTTATTAAAATGGCAACACCTATCCGGGCCAGAGCACCTTGCCATCCAGTCATCCATCCAAACCATCTTTCCCATGGATCTGTGGCCCCAGAATTTCGTTTTAGCTCGTTGGACAAACTCTTTAACTTTTCTATTGCCAACGTTACCTTACCATTAGGGCCTGTATTATCTGGAATATAGGTACAGCATGTTATGGTGTCTGGGAGTATTTTACATACTCTCCCTTTTCCTGCCAAAATCATTTCCAAGCTTATTCTATTCTGGAAGGTCATCTGAGAAGTAGTTTGTAACCACCCTATCCCACCATATATCCCATAACGAGTATAGTTCCCTGGATATATAGTAATGCCTTCGTCTGGGTTAATATTTTTAGTAATGATTGGGTATTAAGTTTCCATGACTCGCATGCTGACCGCTTAGGTTTAAATACAGTGTAGAGACTTAAAACGCATACTTCATATCCGGAGGAAGGTTCAGGGATACAGTACCTGGGTGACGCCTCGCTCCTCCGCAGACATAGCATTTAGACTTGTTATGTTTAGTAGCATTGTATTTCATCCATTCAAGTCACAAATTAGTGTCAGAGAAACCTGTCTCTACAGCCCTAGTATCCTCAAATATGGGATGACTACCATGTCTTTTAAAGTCCTAATGTGTGGTTTGAGGGGATTAACAGTCATGTGCGTGGCACCTACCCATTCAGCTGAGTCATATATGTCCTGTAAGAAAAAGGTCTCCTGTTTATTGTATAAACCTCTTCCCTTCCAATTCAGATTTTATTAGCTGTAATGCTTGGGAGAATAGATTCAAACTTAGTTTCTTACCTTAAAATCATTTGGTACCCCCCTTGACACCCCTATGGCATTTATATATATATATATATATATATATATATATATATGTGGGTAAAACCACCCTTTATAGGGGTACTCCTCTTTGGCCTGAAGCGTGAATGAGGTGTGTCAAGAGTACCTTGGGGATTGTCATGTGTTATGTGTATGGACATAATAACCTTGGCTAGGGCACATTTACTTATTCTTAATCTTAGAAATCTTGTCTCATGCTACCCTAGTACTGACAGATTCAGATCATTTAAACATTCAATATTAATATCACCACAAACTCAAGATAAGCAGATGATCCTGAAGAAGCTTTGACTGTGCGTATGGCACCTCAGACGTGAGGGCTGCAGGGTAAAAAGTATGTCTGTTTCTCTTTAGTTTCACGAGGTCCCCTTTTGGGGTATTTGGCTTTCCATCGATGGCAGGTGGTCAGGCATTATTATGGCCATCAAAACACCCACTTGTTGATATTTATTTATTTATTTTCAACAAGTATCTTTGTTCTCTAACAATGGAGTTTCAAAAAGGGTTGTCAAGATCAACAAATGCTACTTCACATGATGCAGAGGCAGGCTTGATTCTGGAATGATGAATCCACTGGGTGATCTCTGTAACTTTCACGGTGCACTACTCAGCATGTGGTCTTGGTTATCACTTTGGTGGCTGGATAGGCCTCTGGCCATCCTGAAAACATGTCTGCTATAATTAGTGCATATTTGAATCAGTCACTCTTTGGCATTCTGGATGTAGTCAACTTGACTCCTCTGGAAGAGATAATGAGGTTTGGCTAGATGCTTGGGGCTTTCCTCCATTCTTCCTGAGTTGCCCTTGGCACAAATGGCACAAGATTTACAGTAACTGTTGGTCAGAGAGGCTATTCCTGATACTTCAGAGTATTTATTGATCAAAAGAGTTCATGAGGGTTCTGGACAGATGCTCCGTAGGCCCACTGGACCACTGCTGAGTATATGTTCTTGGGCAAGCAGAACTTGAGATTGTTGAAGTACAGCCTGTCTTTAAGGGTTGCCCCTTTCTGTTTCCAGCTTGTGGGTTTTTTTTTTTTTCAGGGTCAGTAGCTGCTTGTTATTCCTTCGGGAGCTTGATATCTGTGGGTAGGATCTTACATGGTGAATATGGGAGTTTCTTCAGCAGACACTTTTCTGTCCACTTCCCTTAGTGCACTTACAACTTCTTGAACAACTTGGTCAGCCAGAGAGTTGCCACATGCTTCCTCTGAGTTCAGTCTTCCTTCAAAGATCTTGCATGCTGTGATAGGAGCCTATAGTTTAGCTTCTTGTGCAGACATTGTTGAGGTGAGATACTTGGTCCACTGTAGTGACAGCAAATCCGGAACAGATCATAAGGAAAAGGCTAAAAAAAATAATAGTCAGTGTCTTATCATTTCCCCCCCTGGGAAGTGGCAGAAGAGTGGCCAGGTAAATAGAGTATCATCCCTGCAGGGTGACACTATCCTGCACAGAATTCGTCCATCACAAGGAGAGGTGGGATATTGCATGGAAAGTCTCAGGGAACCAGGGCACCATTCGACACCAGAGCCTTAACCTGTTAGGGAATATTAAGAGCTTGGACAGGCTTTGGGGCCTGTATAATTCAGGTAAAGGTATTGGGGGAACTAGCTAGGATCCTTGCCTCTTGGTCAGGTTTCACTGTGTGGAACAAAAGAAATAATAAGGTGATAGGGGCCTGCAAGTGGGGGAAGGACATCTGCACCTAGCAGATTAATCGGACAGGTGGAGGCAACCACAAAGCAAGGTTTAGTTAACAGGCTACTCCAAAGAGAGCCATCTACACTTGTGCAGGAGACAACAATATTAGACAGGAATGAGGAGTCAGGCAGGTCTTGCTTGGTACAAATAGATGTCATGTGGCCTGCTATACAAGGCTGCATGTAGCCGTTGGGTATGGGCCTTATTATGTACTAAAACCTTAGTAAAAAGAAAATTTGGGACAACCTGAAGTGATACTTCTCCACAGATGCTAACTCATCGTTGATGACATTGTTAATACAGGTAGCCTGATCAGTCAATTTATCTTAGGCTTAAACAAGTCACACCATGCAGTGGAATGGGTCATTAGGATTCGGGCAATTCTACAGTAAAAGGGCATAGTAAGGATGGACATGATGTTACTTTAGGAGTAAGTGTGGCTGTGGATAGGGGGAAATCAGCCTTATCCATTCCCATATATTATTCCTTTTGTCTTCAGTATATCCAAACCATGTGTATGTCCAGGCGTTGCAATATATAGTAATCCATTATCAGTCATGATATTAAAATCTCATTCTCATGAATTAAATCAAAGATTTTAAATCAACCTCAGAAGCAACAAAGAATAAATCATTGTTTTTTCCTTCTGTAAAATGATTGGAGTTACTGTATAATAGCATACAACCAATATAACATACATAAAAACCAATGAAAAAACAAACAAAAACAATAAAAAAAAAAAAAAAACAGTACAGACTAACAAGTTAGTAAACAAACAAACAAACACATATCTCTATTCTTGTGCTGGTTTTAACTCAAGAATCAAATATCTGCAAGATCTGAAATAATGTGCACCAAACACAAATAACTTTAGTTATATTCTGCCGTTGAGGCAATTGGGAGTGGCTCAGGCATCTGTATTGCTTTTTCACACTGAGTTCTAGGGGGGGAAAGGAGGTGGGTCAAATCTGCACTTCTCTCTGCGTCTAACAAGTCAGTGTAACCCCTTCATGCCTGGATACCTCTTTACTTTATCTAAGAATAAAGCAACTTCCTTCAAAGTACTTTTTTCTCAATCAATTACAATTGCTGTTGTATCTAGATCTTGACATTTTTTCACAAATTCCTGATCCTCAGGAAAATTACCAACAAGTCTATATGCATTTGAGTCGGCAGCCATGTTTGAAATAGTCTATTCCTTTGTTCGTCATTTAGGCTATATTTGTCCAAATTTGACTCAAATATTTCAGCATTAGTAAATGCATCCACTGACATGTCATAAACTGGAATACATTTCACAATTTTCATTAATTGTTAATGGATTTTCAAATTAAGTTTTACAGTTCTGTTACTTTGTTACACTGGTCATTTAAATCTGATTTGTCTTCTGTTAACATATTCAAATGTATTTCTTTATCTGCTGATTCTAAATTTTCTTGACCTGCATCTCGTTTACAAATCAATGCATTGTAAGTACAGACTAGTTTCATAACATTTCTAATCTTTTGGTTTTTTTTGTTTTATTTTATTAACAAACAATTTCTTGGCAATTTCACTATTGGCAATTTCACATTGTGTGTATAAAGATTGCCACAATACAGCATCTGAATAGCTGAAATTACATGCAAACTGCAATGTACTTTTCTCTGCATTATCATTTATGAATTCCACAATTCATTTGTTCCAACAAAATCTAACTTTCCTTGTTCCAACATGCCAATAACCTCTTACTTAACAACATATACAAGATTACACAAAGTTCCTAACTAGGATAATTGGCCTTTTTTTTTTTCTGAGTTTACAAGCATTTCACCCATTCAACCCCCCCTGTAGCCAAGAGTGACGATACAGATTGTATAGATTACAATTAACATATATGGTACCCAACAAGACATACACAGACAAAAGCACAAAATACAGATGTAAATAAATCACAAAGTCCTTAAAATAAATGTCGGCTAATAACTCAAATCACACACACATAGAAACACGCAAACACACATACAACAACTTAACTCTTTGTTCGTTGTTTTTATTATTTCAACAAACTAAAACTAATTATTTTTTTTTGTATTTCCCACAAATTTAATATTAAAATATTAATATAATCCGGCCTGAATCTCCAGGTTTTTGCACCCTGAACTTAAAAGAAAAACAACAAAAGAAACGCCAAGATTTAATATTAAAATATTAATATAATCCGGCCTAAATCTCTAGGTTTTTGCACCCTGAACTCAATCGCCAGGTTTTTTCTATGAACCCGACCTCAATAATCAAAAGAAAGTAAAACAGATTCTCAAACAGACACTTTCACACATAAAACTCACACTCAGGATGTAGATAGACAATTGACAGGTTCTATTCAAATAAAGGGGACATGTGGGCATACTATACACCTGTCTGACGTTAACCACAGGAAGCCGAGTGAAGGAACGGAGTGCAGACCAATTCCAAGAGACGGGAAAATATAGGTAAGTTACTCATTTACCATATGCAGATGTGATCAGGCTCTTTTTTCCAATCTCTGGGGGTCTCCTCTCCGGTCCTGGGATTTTACGACTTCCTTAGTAACATAACCCTCTTGTCCCTGTTCGAAATTGCGCCAACTGATTTGGATCAAAGAAAACTTTGATAATTTGTCTATCTACACCTTCCAAATTGATTGATTAATGCGTGCACGCTTTCCCTAGAAGTAATTCACACCGGAGACAAAGTTTCTGGTCAGTGAAAAACCAAGGAATGCCTTTATTCCCTGGAGTGGGAGTTCCTTTTAAAGCAGAAATACGTCATGTAGAGTCACAGTTAAACATACAATATACATTCAACAATTGGTTAACAGTCTAAGGGGTCTTGTTTAAACCCCCCCTACAGGATGTAGTGTCGTCATTACAGACTTCTCCCACTTATATTGGATACACGATGGGAGGGGTGTGAGTAGTTTCTTTAACAGTGATTCTCTATTTTGTTAGCTGTTACTTTGCACAAAGGAAGTGGAAGAGGAGTTTAATAAAGGAAGATGTTCTTTTAACAGAGGAATTTTGTTACATGAGGCTTGCTTGATGGGAAGGGGAGAGGCTAGCAGGATGTGAGGAATTTACAGAGGAAATATCAACTGAACACATTGTAGGGGGGGAAGGGAATATTTACTCTAGCAGCCAGTTTTAACATAGTGAACACAGAATAAATAGACATTAGTAAATAGCCATTTTATTTTAATTCATCTGTCCATAACAGCATATGTTTACATATTTGTTCATGAAGTTTCAAGGTCTCGTGAGAGAGAAAGAGACAGGTTCCAGCATGAAAACTGGAACAACTTAGAGATGCTCTTGCTCCTCCAAGTCCACATGCCCTATATATTTTCTAGGGAATACTTTTTTTAATTGTGGCTATTAGATAATGTATTTATAAGGGGTTTCCAGTGATACTTTGTAAATTAAAATAAATCAACCCTTGTGTTGCAGATATTTTGTGAATTATTTTTATGAATAGAAGAAAAGAAGACTGGTAAAAAAAAAAAAGCTGACATGTGTCATGTCTATACTGTGCTTCTGTATGTAATAAATAATTGTGCTCTATGTCTCAGTGCAGTATAAATGAATACATTCATTTAATTGTCCTTTATTGGAAACATTTTATTTTATTTTACAGAGGTGATTTGTGATGTTGATATGTAGTACTTGTGTCCTATATTGCATGAATATGTTGATTAATGATTTCTGTTTTATCATACTGCATGTCAAGAGTTTATATGCATGGTCAGCAAGAGGTCTGCTTAATTTTATAATTTTCATTGATTGGTGATATTATATCAGTGCCAAAATTTCCTACCTTGTCTGCATTATGGTTAACATTTCTCAGCTTAGCTCCCATAGTCTTTTTGATTTTGATTAAATGCCTTTTATTTTCAATATGATACCGTTGGGTAATTACCGCAATTAATCCTCTCTGCTTAGAGGTCACTGTCAGGTCTATGTATATAGCCTAGCTTTATCTCCTTTCCTTATTATGTGTCCCATTTAATCCTTGTTATAGAGACAGGGAAAACAACAGGGGAAAAAAACAAGACGCTGCAAGAAGCCTGTCACATATTCATCTGCACATAAAAATGTGATTAATGTAATTTACTGTCCTGACAGGAAAAGTTGTGCCGAGCAGCAATCAATCCAAAGGCGGGTTTGTGCTGAGCAGCAATCAATCCACTGGAGGGTTTGTGCTGAGCAGCAATCATACAAATAGGAACCTGGTAATTGCCTTTGGGGTCAAAGGCTGGTTACAACCAATCAGATCCACAGGCGGGGTATTTAGGCCTAGTTCTCCTCTTGCTCTGTGCCCTGTTGTGGTTTCCCTTGTGGTTGTCCGAGAGCGCGCCATTGATTCTGTTTTTTCTGGTTATTTGACTTTGGCATTGATATTGACTTCCCTGTTTTCTGGCATCCCTGACCCCTGGCTTTTCCTTATCGTTGTGTCTCTTTCTTGACCTCGGCTATTTCTGACTATTCTTTGGTATGTTAGTCCGGCCATTCTAAGGTCCGGTATACGTTACCTATCAGTCCTCTGTGTTACACAATTCTACATGTTGGATCATACTGTAATCCTGACAAAGCCTTGGAAAAGTCTTGAAATGTTCCAGACCCCTAAACATCTTGTTCAACTACTTAACAATTATCCCAATTCAGAACACAGCAACTCCAAACTGTAGACAAATGTATAATATAAATTTTAGCATACAAATTAAATTGTGATACATGGTGATGAGTGTAATCAGAGTTTTGGCTTTCAGCCCTAGCTTTTCACCTACATTTTCTTTAAAATCCTGGGCTGCCAGTAAGAATGTATAACAAAAAAGCAGTAACGTATGGCAATCAAGATACCAGCTGCCACCCCATACCCTACCCACCAACCTACATAAAATGTACCATAAATAAAGAATAAAAAAATTTAAAAAAGATACCAGCTGCCTTCATTTCCTGTCATGAAACTACTTCCATATTTTCACTTTGAAGAGACAATAAAATATTGGGTATCATCAATGACATACTAAGGATAGGCAGAAGGACAGCCTATCGCAGGTGATAGCAGGGTGCACCCAAAGAGGTGTAGTAGATCCAAAAGGTACCAAGCTTTCCTGTCTGGGTCTGGATTTCTAACTGAAGTGCCTGTGGAACATGACTTAAGAGTCATGATGCCAATCAATAAAGAAAAACAGTTGATAGGAATCTCTACAATGATAGGACTAGGTACACATTTAACACCTTGAAGGCGGAGGCAATTGGACACACTCAGACAAAATGTAAACCAAAAAAAAAACAAGAATTTGAGCTTTAGGTCTGTTCAACCATAATATTCCAGTACACCCAATATTCAGATTGTATGGGTTTTTAGAAAGTTATGTGGTCAACTATAGGGCTTTCTCCTTTGCAGTTTACACACATGGAAATTTGCCAGATTGGTTTGCTGGGCCTATGTTACCTTTGAGACCCTATGGCCCAGGAATAAAAATAAATCCCATCACGGCCTACCATTTGCAAAACCTTAGACAATCCAGGGTATTCAAAATGGTGTATATCTATTGTAGCTAATAAGTCACAAACCCTGACCAAATTTAGTTATCATCATGA